TTTTATCATTTTTATATTTATCTTTTTATCATTTAATTCATTTTTTTTATGAAAACCTTTATATTGAATTTTTTTCTAAATACTCCATTACTTTGGTAATATTTTAGAAAAATATTCTCTCCTAGAGATGTTAAGGACTTGTTACTCGAACATCATTAATATCTCATCATCGAAGAAATCATTATTTTATTCTTTTTTTTATTTATTAGACTTTTGTGATAATAATATTTTTAAAAAAATTTAAATGACCATCTATGAAAAGGATATCATTTTTCACATTGTTATTTATGTATTTCATGATCCAACCTCTATAAATATGACTATAATTAAATGTAAACAAAACAAGATAAATAAATAAAAAGAAAAAAATATACCAAAAATAGAGCCTTTGGGCTACCCCTTCAACCATGACCAATGGTCAAATGAAAACTAGAGGATCTAAATTTGAATGGGCTGTAGGTTGGGTTCTCTCTAGATCAAATAGAAACTTTTAGAGCGGGTTCAAGCCGAGCCACTAGGTTAGGTCACAATCCAAGTTAGGTTGGGGGTTAACCCGATTCATTTTTTTTTTTTTTTTACATTCTAAAAACTAAAGCTTTTTTTTTTTTTCGCATCATTTCATTTTTTTCTCTAAAAAGAACTTCATTTCCTTCTATTAAAAAAAAAAAACAGAGGCCATAATCCTCTCTTCTCCCTAAACCTAGAAGTTGATAAGCCTACTACTATGCCACTGCCGTCATCGTATAGCTCACTTATTTCTTTCCTACTTTTTCTTTTCTTCATGTCGCACCTACATTCTCTTTCTTTTAGTTGAAACCATTTCCTTTCCTTTTTCCATTTCCCAAACAGCCTTTTTTCTTCACTTTACAGCCAAAACTCTCTATATTGCCTTAATATTTTTTACTTTTTTTTTTTGTTATGGTTCCTTACTATGATGAGGACTGTGTTTTCTTTTTATTTTTTTTGCTTGCATTTTGTGGTTTTCTAATAGATTCCTCAATTGAAGGCTGAGTTTTTTTTTTTGTGTTTTTGGCTTACAAAGAGGTAAGGACTTTTGATTGGGGTTTGGTTGTAATGAACTCCATTGATGGCATTAGAGGTGGCCTCAGGTAGTGCTAGCTTGAAAATGTTTTCAATGCTACCATACAGGGGATCTTGAAATCTGTGGGTATAGTGTAGATGAAAGTAGATTGTTTGGGGTTGGTTTGGAGGTGGTGAAAGGTTAGTTGATAATGGCGGTAAGGGTAGGGCTAATGGTTTGAAGGTGTTAATAAGCTGGGTTGGCTAGTTAGTGCTCGATGGCGGTTTTATACTTGGTGGTTGTTCAAGTTTATGGCACTACACAGCAATATGATGGTTTTGGGATTCGGTGGAAAGGGGACTATGATGAGTCATAACGAGGCTTTTTCTAGTAGTGGACGATGGTGTTAGGGTTTTCTTATAGGTAATCTAGTGAAGGGTTTGATCTGTTATAGAGTGGCAATGGCAGATAGTTTAAGCTTGGCAGTGAGCTTGATAAAATTTTTTTCCCACTAAAAATTTTCCTCTTTATTTTTATCAGGGAATCCCTAATCAACTTTTTGTAGTAAAGTCAATTTTTCCTTAGAAGTAAATTAGAAATTTTGATTTTTTCTTACAGATGGCAGTGATTGTCTTCTAATTTTTTGGTTGGTGAAGCATGCTTATTTTTAGGGCATTGAGATTTTGATAAATTCATAAAATGTGTCAAGGGGTAAAAATGGAGGTAAAAATAGAAAGCCAACAATTGGGGTATGCACTTGGGAAAAGGGAAGATTCCAGTAAGGAAAGCTGGCTGCCATGGTAGACCAAGCTTTAAGATTTAAGCTTTTCTTTTTTTTTTAATTTTGTAATTTATCAATTAATAAAAATAATTAAATCTAAAAAATAAAATTAGGCCTTAAAATCAAATTAATCTTAAAAACATTATATTTGGGCTTTAAAATCAAATTTTGGATTTTGGATTTCTATAAGGCCTGCCACCTCTTGTGATATTAACCCAAGTTTGAATTAGATTGTTCTTTAATTCATGAAAAAATAGTCTAAGAACAAAAAAATTCATTTAAGCCCAACGCAAAATAATCTTATTAAAAAGTTAAAATGGGTGCAAATTTTGACATGAAATCAAGTACAAAAATTGAGCAAACTCATACAGTCCCAGACAAAATTGAGTGTTTACAAATATCATTAATGATTCTTAAATTATACTAAAATATTCAAAGTGATACTAAAATTTTAAAAATTTTTAATGTGATATCTGAATTATAAATCTATTAACTAAAATAATGCTCACTCCTAACATAGCTAACTTCAAATGATGATAAGTGACAAACAAACAACCCTTCAAATACTACATTAGTTAATATATTTATAGTTTAAGTATGACATTAGAGATTTTTAAAATTTAATACCATATTCATTATTTCATTATAGTTTAGAGACTATTCATGATATTAACCCTTCAATTAATAATATTTATCGAACATGTTTTATGTTTTCAGTTTTTGAAATTCTATAACAACATTATTTAACCAAATACATTTTCTTTTTTTAAAATTTCAAAATAAAACAAAACAAAAATAAAAACAAAGTTTTAAAAACAAAAAAGTTAAAATAATAAAAAATATTCATGAACTTTATCACTTTATTTAGATAAGTCTTTATTTATTTAAATAAACTTTTAATATTTACTTTGCACCCTAATAAGTCCTTAAATTTCATTTGTATCCAAATAAATCTTTTTATTTTAATTTTTATTTAAATAAACTCTGAATATAAATTAATATTTTGCTTTAAATAAAGATATACTTAAATATAAATCAATGAATAAGAGCTTATCTAAGTATAATAAAATCATAAAGGTTTATCTAAATAAAATGATAAAATTTAAGGGCTCCTATAATATTTTAACTAAACCAAAAACATCTATACCTATATATAAAAGTTATCCCTTCAAAATTATAAGCTCTCTCTAACTTCAATTGGTTGCCAAATCAGTATTTTCACTATTCATCGAAATCATCAAATAATTGCCATATCAACAAACAACGGGCACATTAACCTAACAGCCCTTGGCATATATCCATTTTTATCTTTAAAGAAATGCAACCAAGAAAGCTTTTAGGCAAAACTTAACCAAAAACTAAGATACCAAAACCATTTAGCCACTATTTACATTCGACCTTGACCTGCCACCTATAACCATCAACCTAAACCTTGCCTTTGCTTTCAAGACACCTAAAATCATCACTAGCTTTAGCCTCAAATCCTAAACTTCCATCACCTAAACTTAAAATCTCCCCGTACAAAAACCAATCAGCTACCCCCCAAAACCCATTCAGCCACCTTCAACCTTGAGCCCCCTGAACTATAGCCCAGTCCCATCACCATAAAAAATCAAGCCCTTCATCGACACCAAACAACCCTTTCTTTAACCATCAAACCCAAAACCTGCCCATCCTAAAACAAACCAAATTCCTAAAGAAAAAGCTACCAAAAACAATTCCAAAAAAATTCACATACAAAAAGTAGGAAAAACCACCCTCAATGGGGAGAACCAACACCAAAAATAGCCAACATAAAAAAAATGAAAATAAAAAGTGTGAAAGGATTTCGGTTTTCAAGATTTTTTGGTGATTTGGAGATATTTTGTAGGAAAAAGAAAAAAAGGCCATTTTTTAGTCACAAGTGGCTGTAGAACCCACAGTGGCACATGACAACTCGTAACAACATGAAGTTTTAGGGTGATCGAGATTGGTGGAAACAAAAAGTGAGATAAGAGTAGCAACATATAAAAATTTAAGAAGGATCAAACAAAGGAAGAAAGAGAATTTATGGCTTAAAGTTTCAATTTTTATTTCAAATTTAGGTTTCTAAAGGGTTTTTTTTTTTTTAAGAAAAAGAGTTCGAAACGGTATTCAGGAGGTTGAAATAAGTTGAGGGTGAAAATTTGGGGGCGAAATGGTGCCAACTGACAATGGTTGATGATGGCAAGCTTGCCGAAATTTAGGGTTTAGGAGAGCCTTTGTTTTTTTAAATAAAAGAGATTTTCTTTTAAGAAGGAGGAGAAGAAATGAAACAATATTTTTTTTGGTTTTATAAAGCGTAAAAAAACAAAAGAAAAAATCAAAAGGGTTGAATGGGTCAACTTGACCCGAATGCCTTTTCCTTTAGTATAATTTTTATACATTTTTTTAGCTTCTTATTTGAAAGTTTTTGCATTATTCATATTAATAAAATTTTTATAAAACATGCATGTCTTGAAATAATTAATAATACTTATAAAAATAAATATTTTAGATTTTTTGTAAAAATTTTATTATTATATGTTTAAATAAAAATGAAAATTTTTTCGATGATAAAATATTAAAAAAATCTAAATAATGATTCTTAAAATTTTTAGGTGAAGATATTTTTCTAAAATACAAGGCTAGTGGTTTTGATTGTAGAGAGAAATTAAAAATAGAAAATGAAACAAAAAAGTTGATTTTGAAACTTTTATGATAAAAAGGAAAACAATAGTGTATTATAATAAAAAAATCTCTGACCTGCGTGAAGGTCCCTTATCAGATCCGAAACTATACATAATTCCAATCCTTGGCGAAGTGAGGGCTGGCCACTAGTAAAACAAAAAATTTAACGTCTGACAATTATTGGTAAATTTGGTATATATGGAAAGCAAATGTGCGTTACAGTGTACTTTGAACTGGATTTAAAAGGAAATGAAAATAATCTAAACAAAGAATTAAACTATTGCACTAATTTTGGACATTTCCAATTCAGAAAAGAATTTTGTTTTGAAATTCTATGTACCTTCCTGAAAAGCTTATAGACTGACTGTTTGGCATTCAAAACACCATATGCTCTATATATACATGCCTCACCTAACCAACACGCCAACATGAGAAAAATGAAAGGTCCCTATGCTCTATTATTCAATCACTTCAATCCTTTTTGCTTTCGTTTTCATCAGTAACTTTCAGCTTCAGCTGATGTCGACGTTTTCTCCAATGCTTCGCAAACAATATTCCAAATTACAGCAATTTCCAAAACCAATCCACCGATGCCAGTTACACTCCAACAATTCCTCTTTTCAATCGATTATGGAGTACGCACAAATAACCTTTTAGAAGCTTTATATTCGGCAACCTTGAAACAGTGGCCATTGTAACAAGGCCTACATGAACTCACGCTCAAGCAACTTGTCGTTTGTGCAAAGCGACATGGCTTCAAGTAAGAATTCGAAGTGCGTCATGATTTTTGAAGGCTATCATTTGTTTCAAACGTCCCATTTGTTCATTCTTTGATCTGTTAATCCTTCCGTCCATACATATGATATTCAAGCGAAACGGCTATGGCAGTTCAGGCAGGGGCCACCCTGGCGAACGTATATTATCTTATATCAGAGAAAAGTTAGAGTTCATGGCTTCCCAGCTGGAGTTTGCATTACTCTTGGCATTGGAGGACACTTCAGCGGAGGCGGCTATGGAGCCATGATGAGAAAATATGGTCTTTCAATAGATAATGTCCTTGATGCCCAATTGGTTGATGCCAATGGTCGAATACTTAACAGAAAGTCAATGGGAGAAGACGTGTTTTGGGCAATCCGAGGAGGTGGAGGAACTAGTTTTGGAATCATTCTTTCATGGAAGATCAAGCTGGTTCCTATTCCTCCTAAGGTTACTGTTTTCAAGGTGAAAAGGACTTTGGAACAAGGCGCAACAGATCTTACTTATCGCTGGCAACAAGTTGCCCATAAACTACCTAAAGATCTTTTCATCAGACTGGAGGCTAGGCCTTTAATCGGACCTGGCAAAGGCAACAAAACCATACAAGTTACTTTCATTGGCCATTTTCTTGGACAAACGGATGGACTTGTTCAACTGGTGAAGGCAAACTTACCCGCATTGGATTTGCAGCC